TGGCAATAAAACTCAAATGCGTTATCGTACAGTGAGGTGAAATGAAGTATCAATTACACAGCATGAACCATATAGTCAAAAAACAAGCTGTTATCGAAATCTTTGCATGACAAAAATGTGAAACACGATGTAGTTGCTGTTTCCAATCACAGAGAGATTGTTTTGGTTTATCTATTTTATTCCTATACTTCAATACTCATTTAAAATTATGTTTCACAAAAAATTGTATTAGATGGTTGTTCATCTTGAACTGTTTATTTGAAGAACATCTTAGGAAATGGATGGACGATATTTATACTAATATTTATTATACTATTTTACAGAGAATTAAAAAGCTGATCTATTGAAGAAAAAAACTAAGTCTAAACAAAAGATGTATCATTAAAAATGTTTAAAGATCCGATTTTTCTTAGAATATTCGATACTATACTACATAGAACTATACAATCTCCAATTAGAATTATAGAAGAAGATTAAAATCTAATTACTTATTTATCTATATTATGATATTAAAAAAACCTTTATTCAACTCTTATGTGATAGATAATTCTATGATCTATAAAAACTAGAACGCATTTCAATATCATAGTTGAATACAAACTATTACAAAGTATTCATTTTGAACTATAATATAAGAAATCTTCAAAAAAAAAAAGAATTTCTTCAAAAGTATAAAATTCATTTGTAACTAAATGAAAGAAAATATCGATTAAAAACTCGCGTATTACGAATATTGTTTTCAAAATATAGTTTTCTTATCAATATCATATAATAGTACAAAATGAATTTAATCTACCTCGATTTTTCGTTCATATCATCCGATATTTTATTTTCATAGTGTTGTATTTTATTTTTCCATTGTGGTATGTTTTCTTCAAACATATTATTATGATCCAGGACAAATTCATCTGTTGGTACATGAAAATCAACTGAAACAGTTACACTTTCATATGAATCAGGAAAATTTTGTTCAATTTGTTCTTGATTAGAATCTCTTGATAGACGTTTGTTATCATAATATGTTACAACTTTATCAGTATCTGTATGAAGTAATGGTGGTGGTGGTAATAATAACCAATGTCCACGTCGATCAAGTCGACAATAACTTGTTGGTTTACTTGATAATTGTTCACAATTAAAACCATATGATTTTGGTATTGTTGAATAATCATCAAGAGTTTCCCAACCATAATCATTTCTATTATCGGATAATGATGATAATGATGATGTTTGAATATTTTGATTATCAATAAATGATGCGAGTACTGATGTTGGTGTTATACCGGGTAAATCTTGCCATGAATCATTTGAACATTGTTCATCAAATTTAAATTTATCCGTTGTAAATAATAATTTTTTTATATCAGTTTTTGATGAAAATAAGTTAAAATCTGACATTACAGTACAATTAGAAACGAACGAAGAAAAAACAATACAATAGCAAATTATGAATAGAATAGTAAAAATGAACGATCGTGGAACGTCAATAGATTTCGTTTAGTTAAACAGTTACTCGACGATTGAGACTAATCGATAGATAAATAAAAAAGAAAACAACGCTTGACCGTATATATTGTTTTTTCTCGCTCGCTTTCTCTCTCTCTCTATCTTTATCTCTATTGCAACAAATTGTTATTTATTGAATATATAAAACTAATCAACAGAGTCAAGCACACAATAAGGAAGAAAACGAAAAAGAATCAACCTAATTTTTCTAATCTGTACAGTCAACAATCATATACATTTGCTAGTGTATCAAAATGAGTATTAATTAAAGATGTCAGACGATCATCTATATGAATAGCCAATCAATCTTAAAACTATTTACCTTGAATAATAATGATGTAAGATTACGAAAAAGAGAGAAGAAAAAAAAAGGAGATTCAAATCGAATGTTGAATAATACACAATGACATAATGAAATATATGAATAAGGAATTCATACTATACAAATCATTTAAATATTTTATTTTTAACTCTATCAACATAAATAATCCTACTCGGAATAATATACATATTGCTCAATATCTATTAATATTCCACAATAAATATGTTTAACTAAGTGAGCATATTTTTCTAAAACTGAATTATAATTTGTGATGAGGACGATTATGTTCGGACATGAAACGAGATCGAAGAATTACTGATAAAGATGAGATTTATTTTTTTGCAAAACTAAATGGGTCTTACCATTGAAAAACAGTCAAGTGTCGTTCAAAGTTTTCATTTTTTGGAATCGTTTAACCGAGACATGACTTTTTTCCCCGGTATAACCGATCTGCTCAGTTGTGTATGTACATCCCGATGAGATCAAACTGAAGTGTTCACAGTAATAGTCTCGTGAGGGCTTGCAAGAGAAAAAAAAAGCTTCATCTCAGTCAGAGGTTTCAAAATCTCAGTACATGCATAACTATGTTCTATAAAAGTTAATCTGAGACAGTTACCATTCGAGCTGATATTGCACTATGTCAAGAAGGCGAAATATTTTTTTTTTCTAATCCAATACAATAGGAATGTTTGACACTATTACGGGAAAACGAAAATTCTACGATGTTCTCGATGAGCATCAGTTACATCCTAACACATTACAAAATAACATAGTCTTCCTATTATCAAAAATATTATTATCAAACCTTTCCTGTCTATAATAATAATAGAAAAAGTTTTCCGTCATGAATTACAAAATCAGTTGTTAGAAAAAAAAAAAAACTCATTTGCCGATATTAAATAACAACCGGATAAAAAAGAAAGCGGAGACAAAATAAAACGCACAACTATTTATTTCTTTCAAATATTATTTAAAGACTCGACATTGTTTTATATTGTACGAATACATTTTATACATAAATGTTAATAACATTATGTAGACGAAATACAAAAAAGACGAATTATTTTGATCTTACGTGCTTGAACAATATTTTTACGAGGACATTAAATGAATAGCAATAATAGTATACAAAACCTAAGATTGAAAGACAAAACTGTCCTTCATCATTCTTTTTTTTTTTTCTTTATATTCACAAAATACAATCCTCCGACAATCGACAAAGAAATAAATGTATAAACTTCCTTCTTTTCTCGTTCATTTTATTTTATCTTGTCACCCTTTATACTTCTCGCACTCATTTTTTTTGTTTACTTTGTACTTCCCATTAGTCTTTCGTCTAGGTCTCTCTTTCTTTTCGTCATCAAATGGTGAGATAAATACACATACACATATACACAAATACATAGAAAAAAAATCTTCTTCTTTTTTTTTTCTCGTTCTCATTTGTATTTGTCTATGTCACGAACGAAGGTGACAACAGTACAAATACAACAAGTAGACAAAACGAGTTTGGAAGAATGTTGGGTAATCTAACCGACGGGACAATGGAGATCGATAGATAGAAAAGAAAAAAAAAATCTGTATAAACAATAAATGAAGAGAAAAAAAAAAGCGAATCCTTTCAACACATTCATTCGTCGATTCAATGTAAATGTGACATTTACATATTGACCCACGTACCTGACAAATGATGGTTCAGCATCTTTCATTTTGTCAAGTAATTCATTTAGAGATACTTTAAAATGAACTGTAACAGTATTTTGACTAAAACGTTCTTTTGGAATTGTATTCGTTTTATTAAATGATTTTCTAAAATTAAATAAAAAAAAAAAATTATTTTTATAAAGAAAAAAAAAAAACTATTTTTTTTTCTTAATGCATACAAATCATGTCGAAGGGATTTGGCAGCTTTTTGACTTAAATTTTCTTTTGTACGTTCAATTTCATATGATTTTGGACGACGTGTTGTATATAATGAAGTCGATTGAGATTTTTTATTGTTATCTGTTATTTGAAATGGTAAACTAAAAAATATAAAATTGTGATAAAACAAAGAAAAGTCCTTGATTTGTTCATTTATGTGTATCAAATAAAAATAATATTATTTATCTTTACTTCCGTTATGAAAATGGCATAGTCAAGGATTTTCGTCTGCGGTTTTTGAAGGACATTCTTTTGGGATTAAGAAAAATGTTTTATCATAAAAATCATTTATCAAACAAACAAAACTTAAGACACGAAAAAGAAAGATGATTCATTTCGTAGATTCAATACTTAAGATTTTCTTTTCTTCAAAAAAAAATTGAAAATGTTGAATAAAAAAATCGAGACAATAATTCTTTCGTTACTCAATGAAACGCAAAAGCTTAAACAACGCGTTTACTCGCAAAAGGTTCTGCTTTTTTGTTTTTAAGCGTGCATACTACTAGGTGGGTAAAAATATTATTCCAGGAGGGTAACACTATGATTTCAAATAGAAGACATAATGAATTTTGTATCAAATGAAAGTTCGTCAAAAATGGGGTTTATTGATACTAAATAGTGAGGGTTATGAAAACTTTTTAATATCGAACTTAAGGAACTTTCAGAAATTTTATACTTTTTTTGAGATGGGAAAGTAAGGTTCCAGTAATTCAGAAATCGAATAAAATGTTTTTCTTGAATATTTTTACATGATTCGATAGAGCTCGTCGAGATCTACAAAACTATATATATTAAAAGATTTTTAAACAGAGTTCTTGGGTTAAAACACACTGAAAACTGTCTAAAGGATGTACCAAAAAACCCGCGTTTTTTAGAGTTTTTATAGGGAAAAAAGTGGTCTCTTTTTACATTAAATTCAGCTGTTTTCCATTAATATCCTTATGTAAGGTGTTTGAAAATATACTCATTCGTTGTAGCGTGAAAAACTGCATCGAATGTGTATATTTCGAAACGCCTGAGGAAGTAAAAATAATTAAAAAAAGCTTAATTTTATTGAAACACCCAGTGTGTTTCTTCAATATAAAAAATATGCGTTTTTTTAACGTTTTTCAAAACTTTCCAAATAGTTTTTTGAATTTTTTATCGCAAAAAACTGACTTAAAAACTTTTTAATATATATAGTTTTGTAGAGCTCGACGAGCTCTATTGAGTCATGTAAAAATATCCAAGAAAAACATTTTACTCAAGTTTTGAACTACTGGCACCTTACTTTTCCATCCCAAAAAAAGAATAAAATTTCTGAAAATTTCTTAAGTTCGATATTAAAAAGTTTTTATAACCCTCACTATTTAGTATCAATAAACCCCATTTTTGACGAGCTTTCATTTGATATAAAATCCATTATGTCTTCTATTTGAAATCATAATGTTACCCCTCTGGAATAATATTTTTACCCGCCTAGTATATTAATAAATTCATCAGATAATATTCAATTATTATGTATAAATACATTCTCTTGTTGAGAAGAATAAAGTGTTTTTAAAAAAGCATCATAGGTTGTATTTACCTACAAAGAGACCAAGTTAAATTGAATTGATTAAGCTGATATTTGTTAAGAAAGGAAAAGTTGGCTGCTGACACTTTGTTATAATATTTGGATGAATTGGAATTTCGATGCATTTGATAGAGACTTAGGACCTTTTGTACAAAAAGTAAAATCAAGAGAAAAGTGCATGCCAAAGAGATTTTCGTTGATAGATTATTACTTCAATGATCCTTCTTTTAATATAAATCTAGAATCCTCCTTTGATTCTTTTTTTGTTCAACTTGATTCAATCCATAGAATGGTGTCCATATTGGAGAAGATTAGCTCCAACTAAACGTTTGACCGCTTCTAATCTACCAGTTACTATATATTGCATTGCTTTTTTAATCACTTATTCTATTCATTTTCCATCGATTTCCATTACTAAAAATACAATCAAAGAAAGAATTAACAAACAAATTAAGACATGAATACACGCCTACTTTTATACTTTGTCTAATTAATACATCTGAATATTTTTCGTCAATATTGTCATTATAACAAAAGTTCATCAATATCAATGTATTTTTCATGTGTAGTTATTGAGTCATTATTAATACCTGTAGAATATTCATGTTCTTCAGACGGACGTATCCAGGAAGAACGAGATAGCAATGAAAGATATTGATAAATTAAGAAACAGTTATTACTAGTAGTATCAATATCTTATCGATCATTTGGTGCTTCTTCTAAAGCCTGATGTTGTATTTCATGATGCTTGTGCAACAGTAGGTCAACTTATCACTTTGAGTACTTTTCATTTACTGTTCAGTTGTTTTGATTGTTCACTCGAAACTAGATTTCCAATGTCATAACATTGACGAAAAAATGCATTTGTGTCAATAATAATGAAGTTTCCTTCTGCATTTTTGTTGAATCTGTATTGTAATGTGTCACTGGCCTTTGTGCTTTGGATATGATTCGATGAAATTGAAGATCTTTTATAAATGGAACAATATTCATCAATATTGATATTATGCTGTAGTAATTGTGTCAGGAATTATTCACTTGTTGGACAAATGATTGCTGGTATTGATATTTTCAAACAACATTGCATATCTATGCCACGAAAATCGGTTGAAGAATAACTCAATTTAATCAAATAATCTTGTGTTACTTCTTGTAACGCTCATTTACCTAATATGGGTGCATTCTTGATAATCCTTCTAAAGAAGAAATGCGACGAAAACGTAAATAAATCGATTAATCTAAATTGAAGATTTGTGCACATACGCTTGTCGCATAACATGATGCCTATCGGTTATTGTCGACCATGGAAAGATATTGCAAATTAAATAGTCTCTTGTACTTGTTCTAATATCTTTGCAGCATTGAAATCAAATCGCATCAGACATGATAAACGTAGAAATATTGTTGTAGTTTTCGCATAAAAATGTGTAATTTGCTGTTGCTCATTAACATTTTGAGTATTTTTTTTCGACTAGATCGAAAATAAGTTCTAAATCATAAACACAGTCGAATCATCTTGCTGTTTTTGAGTTTGATTGTCTTCAGCCGGTGGTTGTGATGATTGCTCAAATGTAGCCGCAGAAAAATCTTTTGTCGATTACGAAATTTTTATTATCACTGCAAAGGTTTTTTTCGTTCAGATTCTGACATTTGGGAAATGTCCTGAACTGTTCTACAAAGATAAACAATAACACATAAATGAGCAAATGACGGGCTGTTTTTTGAATTTCTATCGATTTGAAAAGTGGCAATGATAAATTAAGACCAGTGTATTTATGACGATGTTATTGCGTTTTTACCCTTGTGGTCTGGAGTAAACGAGTTTCGAAATGGACTTATATAAAAAAAATTTGTTATGAACGTCATCAAAGCCAGTACTATTTATCATATTCTTCATTAGCTTTTCATCTAAGGTAGCGATACCAATTATTAATCGCTTAGCATCAATAATATTTATCATTGTTATTCCCACTGTTTGGGATGAGCTGCTAAACCTAAAAAATGAAGATGATTAGTCCACTTTTTTCCTTATCTATTTACCCATCGCAACAACGTAAGATAATAATTAGCTCATATTCTTTGGTAGAATAATTTACACTGTACAAAATGTAGTTGTCTTCAATAAGATCCGTGTTGTCGTTCAATAATATTTTATTATTTAATGCCAGATGTCGTAAACCAATATGATTTATATGTGTAATGATAGAGGACAAATCAGATCTAGTTGACTTTCCATTTACTATGACGGGTTTCAGATATATTGGACGGAAACATCTTTTCAGTTTTCGTATGGGATTTATTAATTTGACGGAAGATGTGTGTTTTACCACTTCTTTTGAAACCAGAAAACAATGCACGATCAAAAGGAAAAAAATACAACAGGAGGTAACATGAAAATGGTATGTGATGTAAATGTCTTTGCACAAAATGCTGAGCCTTAAAATTCATTTGCCTCATATTTTATACTGCCTTGTTTTATCTGAAAAATTATGAAAATGCTGTAATAACTGAATAGAAAAAAATAGTTCACATTCCTACATAGCTTGATATTTTCTAAAAATAGCTTCTATCATAACTTGCAACATAAAATATGGCAAAATAGTCTTAGTGTAACTGATAGAAATTATTTCTTAGCAATAAATCATCAAACTGAACTCATATTTATTTTTTTTCGAGAAAGTGACGTCCGTGCAACGAAACAGATCAACAGGAGTTGATATTGCACTTAAGGTTTGTTAGAAAAATGTTTAAAGACGAAATAAAATATTAGATGGGATGTCCAGAAAATAACTCAGCGACGAAAAATTTGAAGATCTCCGTCATATTTCAACCATATAGGTAGTATTTTTACGACTGATAAAGTAATGTTCATAGCTCATATTTTTAAGAGAAACGTTGCTAAAAATCACTTGAAAGTGTTTACAACTGGCTTTAACAAGTTTATTCCCTTAGCCACGAATAAATGACATCTAACTTTTTCGTTTAGTTCTCCATAACAGTACTGCTCGGGCTCATATTTATACCACAGTATATGTCTTGTTACTCAGTGTACCCTGAAATTTTAGTCATAAACGTCAAGCATTTTTAATAAAACTACACTATTAGTTTTTCATAAGTTTGTGAAATATTATGGATCTTTATTGAAGTTTGTTGCACTAGAAACAAACAATTTTTGAGAATGTTTTATAAATACAGTGCACCTCAAAAGTCTCGTATCACGTTTTTGTTTTCAGTCGTGTATTAAAACTACAATACATTAATTTAATGCGATTATATGCCTGAATAGCACATCTCAAGTACTATCTATATACACCTATTTCATATGAAAAATCCTTAAATATTAAATGCAATGAAGACAAACAAACTTCAGTACTAAGGCAAAAACTACATAAAAAAAGAAAAAGTGATAATACAAATGTTTGGAAGCCTTTTATATTTTGCATGTGTCTTGGTCTTAAGAAAATGATAGCAACTTGATTGTTTTTTCAAAAGATACGCCGTCGAAAGCTCTGTAAAATCTGTAAAACAATTCCTATTGCAAAACTAAAAAGTCTTCCAAACATTTTTATTATCACTTTGTCTTTTTTTATGTAGTTTTTGTCTTATATAGTACGGAAGTTTGTTTGTCTTCATTATATTTAATATTTAAGGGTTTTTCGTATGAAATAGGTGTATCTAGATAGTACTTGAGATGTGCTATTCAGGCATATAATCACAATAAATTAATATATTGTAGTTCTAATAGACGACTCGAAACAAACAAGTGAATACGAGACTTTTGAGGTGCACTGTAGTTGATAGAAATGATTTCGGTAAAGTAAATCTCATCAAAGATGTACCATTTTGAAATAACGAAAAAACAACATTTTAAGTTTTAAGTTATATAATATTCTATTTTGGATGGATATGGGTGAATCGAACATGCTCACGAACACCCAGACTCAATCATACCCTCATCCCAAGTCTAACTGCATTCATCGCAACCAATTAGAGAGCCATCCTAAGTTGAGAAATAAATATGAGCAAGAAATATTCGCATTTCATAGTAGCTTTGGTTACGTTGTAGCTCTACTCAAAAAGGAAACTCGATCGATTTTGCACTCACATTATCTAAACATGTCAAACAATGCTAAGTAAAGTTGAAAATATGATTAAATGAATTATTCCGTACAATTAAAAATATTTGGACTATAAAAGCAAATATTCAGTTTAACAAAAGTAAAAAGTTAACACCACTTATAAAACAAAAGATTCTAGATTTTGTAGGATAGATCTGATTAACTTTTCGATTCTGTTGTTGTAGTCGCTGAATCTTCTTCTTCACCATGTTTGGTTTCGTTTCTCATTGTGCAAGAAGTTTCATCGATGAGACTTATATGTCGATTTTTTTTAGCTGCTCGTTTAGCAATACGTGATGCCTCTGGTCCAGATATATCGATTTCTAAATCATCATCGGTTTGACGTTGTTCATTAGAAGCACATACAACTAGAATAAAAAAGAATTAATAAACTATTTTTCCATTGTGCACTCATCAACACAATCACTCACATGCAGCCTGTAAAAATACAAAAAGAAATTCAAATAAATATCAAATAGAAATTCGTTTTTAAACTCACTTCTAATTGTTGTCGAGTTTCAGCATCTTGAAGTGCATTCATATCAATTGGTCTTTCAGAAGTCAATTCAATAAGCCATGAACATGTCAGAATTTCATCGATTGTAATACGATTTTGTGGAGTAACTATGAGCATTCGTTGAATAGTCGATTTTGCTTCTTGTGAGATATTTTTCCAGTCGAGTTCAGGAAATTGATAATCACCTGTCCTGATTCTATGTCTCATAGCATAGCTTGAGTATTCTCCATCTTTTGGAAAGAAAGGTGGATAACCACATAAAAGAATGTACATAATAACACCCATAGACCAAATATCACAGGCCTGTTTAATAAGAAATAAAAACAAATTAAAAGATAATTCTTTTGAATTTGTCAAACAAAAATAAAAATAGAACCATGTCTGTATTCAATAGTGTGTAACTCGTATTTTTGAACTGGAGTTTCTCATTTCTAGACTATCAAAATAAAACATGATGAGTGTATTACTTTATCATATCTTGCACGGGACAGAATCTCTGGAGCAACATAAAACGGTGTGAATCTAAATGAAAAAATCTAGTAAAAATGTTCGATATTGTGCATTTATTTCTTTACAATGGAGTACTCAATGGCATTGGTTGATTGTTTCCTTAAAAAAAACACAGTGAACAAAAGTCAATTTATTGCTTTTTTTTCAACAGATACTATTTTTATTTTACCTTCCTTAGCAAATCCAAAATCGCTTAGTTTGAGAATACCATCATCGGTTTCATTTGTCAATAGTAAATTTTCTGCTTTTAAATCACCTATGATTATAAATTTAATAATTAATCATTATCACATTTGAAACTACGTACGATGAACCTATAAACAGTGGAATGAACAAAAAAAATACGTATATAAAATAGAAAGCAATATCTTACTATATCCATTTTGTGTAAATGATAAACAGCTTGAACCATCATCCAAATATATCTGGCAGCGTCACGTTCTGTATACGGTTTGTCGTTTCTTTGTTGAATACGATTGAATAGTTCACCACCTTCCATACTAGAATCAAAAATTAATTAAAAGACATATATATACACACATGTATAGATTAATGAAAAATCAACTTTACCATTCCATTACAATCAATAAGCATCGATTAGATCTAAACATGTTTTCCTGCAATAAGTCAAAATATTGAATCAATTATAGAGTTAAGGACAGGGAAGAAATCAAAAGAAATAAGTTCAACAATAATATTCTTACATAGACGTCTAGTACTTTGACAATGTATTGACAATTTTCACATGCTTTTTTATGCAATATAACTTCTTGTTGAGCTCTGTTTGAATCTTTCAAAATCTATGGAAATTTCAAATATAAATCAATTAATATATTTATTAAAACAAATTAAAAATATACTTTAAGAGCACATTTTTGTCCTGTTTGACGATGTTGACATTTGTATACTTTACCACTTACACCACGACCTAACACTCCTGGTAATATATCATAATCATCTGTAAAATCATTCCGACGTGTTGGAAATGGAAATGGATCATGTTTGTTTGACCTGTGTAATTGATTAAAATAGATTTATTTTTCATATGAAAGATCAAACGAACAAAAGCTTATACTGATGTACGATTGACATTAACTATCTAGGCAGGCAAAATTTACGTTTTCAAAGAACACAAATTTTTTTAAACGGAAATCGAGTCTAAAGAGAATGATGCTCGCAAAGTTGCTTTTTGCAAAATTAAAAATCATTTTTTAAGTATAAAAAGCACACATTTCACGGGATTAAAAGAAGTTTAAATAAGTTTTTGTTTACCTGAGTAGCAATATTCAATCCGTTGAGCAAATCATTATAAATGTAGTATGATATGAACTTGCTTGAAATCCTACTCTTTTTTATATTACATTGCTCTTCTCTACAGTGACGGTTCTCAAAATAATTATGCCTTTTTTTTGTATAAGTAAACATCATTTATTTAACAAAAATGATTCGAAAAAATTTATTATTATTGAATATATTGCATTATTCATACAACTAAATATCTTTCAATTGTGTAAGTAAAAGATAGAGAGTTTTAGTCATCATGACTTTGAATCATAATTCTCATTTTTTAAAAAATATAAAAAAACAATTTTCGAAATATTCTTGTGATTTTTCAATCGATAAAAGAAAACTAATTTGTTTAAAAGAGTTTATGAATTGATTTACTTACTTTTCAGCTATTGCACTTTGATGAGTAGCCATCGTTATGCGTAGAAATTGTACACAAGTAAATCAATGCTTAATGATTCTGAATAATAAAAATAAACAGTATGTTTTACGCGTGTGAGAAAAAATCGGTTTAAATTAGCAAAACTCTAGAAATGTCCTTTCAATTTGCGCATGTCAAGTTACAAGAAATTGTGTACGACAAATAGTCAAGAAAAGAAAACCCTATTAGATCGAACTAGAAAATAGAACACCCAAGACACGTGTAAAATATAATGCAGAAACACATTAGAAGCGAGAATAATAATGACGAAATATAAAAGAACGAGTAAAAACACATGACAAAATTAATAGTAGAATATAACGATGGAGTTTCCTTAGCGTGTTCTATGCAAAATCAATGTACTTTTTCAGTCTATTGCAACATGGTGCAATAACCATCTTTATTCACCCAATTAAATGCGAATAAGATGCTGATGTAGTGTAGAAAGTGAAGTTGTCACGATGATGTGTCAAAATAAATGATCGAAAGTCAAACTAATTTAAACAGAATCAATGACTTGTTGGTTTACCTAGTGGTATTTCAAAAGTGCCTTTGAAAAAGTAATAAAAATATAAACATGTGACGGTATAGGTATGAGAGTGAGTATTGATGATGACATGGAAGAGTGCAGGTGTGCGTGTAGTGTGGGTATATGTGAAGGATACATTAGATAGAAAAAAAAGGAGACCGTGAGAAACTTCTATAATTACACAACCTTACAACTTGGTATTTTGTGTAATTACACTTCGTACTTGATGTTGATTATTTATGTGTATCGAGTCTTTGCTGCTCATAAGATGTCTGTAAAACAGAGTTTTTACCGAATTTTTCAACAAAACTACGTAACTCCTAATAGTTCATGTTGATCGGGAACAAAAGAGACTCCAGCGTTCAAGTTGTTTGAAGTCTTTGAGCTATAGCGTTTAAAGGTGTCAGATGTATATGTGGGTGTGGATTCTCACTTTACGTACCCACATGCACATCTACACATCCGTCTTAGCCAATATTTCCAATTAGCTTTTGACTATTGTGTCTGCTCAATGATTTTCATAAAAAAATAGGATCATTTGACAAGATATCTGATTCTAGATTTAGTAGCGTCGACTAAAAGTAAACATCAATGGAGAACAGAGACGGTCGTCAGAACCGGACTGCCCTTGTAAATTATGTACTAACTATCAAGTTAGATGTTTTCGACATCAAAAATTTTAATCTTTTGTAAAGTTACATGAGACATCGCTGTAAGCTATCCACGTTTATATTTCATCCAATATATATCTGTTCTCGACAGTTTTTACGTTTTGCTATTGATTGTCATCTCTTTTCTGTGAGTATAATAGTGACCAAAAAGCGTCATCAATGCAGGGTGCTCTGATGCCCTAGTCTCAGGACAGCGAAATTAATTGTTTTTACCCTATCCTGTATACCTTACAGAGCATCGGGTAGTATAAGACAAAATAGTTTACCCTGATAAAAATGTGGGTGTGGGTGTAGGCATTCTTTACACACACACCTACACCTTTCGGAATTGACTTCGAAGGTATTGTGATATCTCTAAAAAGAGACAGATTGAATAAAACTGCATAGCTATAATGTAACAAGAATCAAAGTTTCAACACAGTA